TCCTTCCGAGGAGTGGCTGGTGGGTTTGAACTGCCAGCTTTCTGGTTAGCAGTCAAGTGCCTTAGGCACTATGCTACCAGAGCTCCTAGACTACTAAACTAAAAGTCAACAGTCCTAACCCATCCAGTAGTGCCATAGAAGAAATTCCTGGCAATCTGCTTCTGTAAAGATTATAGTCAAGAAAACCCTGTGGAGAAGTTCTATTCTGGAATACATGGCATCACCATAAATAAGAACTGACTCAGTGATAACCAGTTTGTTTTTTGGTCATGCTTGGCATTTTGAACTGTGTAATATCATGAGCTATATTACTCTTAATGAAAGGTATACTTCTTCCATCTTAATATGGAGATTAAATGTCTCAGAAAGAAATAATAAAAAAAATCCTTTCCTATTAACATGGAGTTTGATGATCATCAAGTTATATTTAAAAAAAAAAAAAAAATGCTATATATACCAACCTGAAGTTGTTGCAGGGTTTATTGTAGAAGAATACTCCAAAGATGCTGTAAAAAAAATGAAGTTGACTTGATATTTAGATTAATAATATGAATATATTAGAAAACATTGAGTGACATATAAATAATTAATCAAAGAGCAACTAATCTTTTTTACTTCCCTTTTCATCCTTTCTCCTGTTGAATGTTCCTCTTGCTTATTGATTGTGATGTGTTTGGTCAGTTTTCAGAATCTATATATTCTTTCCGGAGCTCTGGTAGCATAAGGCACTTGACTGCTAACCAGAAGGCTGGTGGTTCAAACCCACTAGCCACTCCTCAGAAGGAAGGTTGGGCAATCTACTTCTGTAGTGATACTGCCTTGGAAACCCAAGGAGGGGTCACTATGAGTCAGGTCCAACTCGATGGCGCATAACAACAGCAACAACAACACATATTCTTTCTATACAAATTACTTCTGTAGAATGTTTGCTTTATTTTGCACCCATTTAAGAAAGATATCTATTTATTACAAATAATTTATATTTAAGCCAATTGCTAGGAGCTCTGGTAGCATAGTGCCTAAAGCACTTGACTGCTAACCAGAAGGCTGGCAGTTCAAACCCACCAGCCACTCCTGGGTAGGAAGGTTGGGCAATCAACTTCTGTAGTGATACTGCTTCAGAAACCCAAGGAGGAGTCGCTATGAGTCAGGTCTGACTCAATGGCACATCACAACAACAACAACAAGTCAATTAGTTTAGCACAAAGTTCCTGGGTGACAAAAATGGTTTGTGCTTGGCTGATAATTGAAAGACTGGCTTATCAAACCCACCCAGTGGATCAAAAAGAAAATCCTGACAATCTACTTGTAAAAATGGCAGCCAACAAAACTATATGAATCTCAGTTCTACTCTAAAATACATGGGGTCACTATGAATCAGAATCAACTCAATGATGACTTTTTATTATTATTATTATTATTTTAACTTTTATTTTATCACTACACACAAGCTCTTAGCATACCTAGAACCAATGATTTTACCACTGGAACATATATGGGAGAGGTTAGTAGCAAAATAATCTTTGCAAAATAATCCAGTTGGTTGTATTTATTTATTTTAATGCCTTGAATCAGTTCTTCTTTAACATATCTACTAGAAAAAAAAAATGTACATTTAATTATAACTAGTTTTCAAATAAAACATAAAATAACCTGAGTATTTACTTGCATCTTTACATGTTTAATAATTTAAAAACATAATGATTCAATTCTGCAAGCTATAAAGGAAACCACATATATCCTCAGAAAAACTCTAGTTTAATGAACTTCCTTTATATTTAAAACTGTATTTACAGTCAGTGTGCTAAGAAGTATGTTCTCCAAGAGGTAGGTTTTTTTAATTTCAGTATTTCTTCATATTTTCACTGTCTTGTCCCTACAGCATCTATGATAATCTCATAAATATAAGATATTTATGGTAAATTATTGATAAAAAGGATACTATTTTAATCATTTATTGTTTGATGTAACAGTGTATGCCATAAAAATACAAGGTATTTATGAAATTCTTAAACATTTTTACATGTAACAAATTAGAAAGTTCACATTACACAGAAATTATTAAACACCTGAACTTAAGCTTTCTACTATCTTTATAAAATGTATTCAACACAATTCAACTACCTAAATGTAGATTCAACTTGTTTAGAATATTCTCAACCTGAGAAGGTAATATAGTTTAATGCATTTTTTTCTTATTTTGTTTCTCAATTAGATCCTGAGCTTGCCACTTGACTATGTAATGTAATAATGTCTGTGGTTATATCAGAAAGATAGAGCATTCCTGAAGTTATAGTGGGCCTGCCTAATGCAAGGAATATGATAAGTACTATAAACATTTCTGCATACCAGTGTTTCAGAATCTTTTTGCTATTTGAGATTTTACAAACTTTTTCTTCAAATATGATTGTGATATTTTTCTTCAAATATGAAGTGATATTTTTTCTTCAAATATGATTTCTCCTTATTTCACTTTTTTGATGCAAATGTGTTGCCTCAAGCAATAAGGCATATTCCTAAAGTTAAGGATCATCCCACTGCTTTCCTGGTATATAGCTATAATTTTAATTTCATAGCTTAATGATTCAAAGAAATCAAATAATGTTCACAGATACCTGTGATATTGATGCTGTTCAAATCAATATGGAAAGTGACCAGTTGGCTGGATTTATTTGCTTCAATGCCTTGAATCAGCTCTTCTTCAACATTTTCATCTGACACCCATTGAGCAAAGAAAAGGTCAAATATGACAATAATGCTGCCATTTCTACAAAGCAAAACATGATATAAGAAGAAAAAGTCAGTCTTCAAATAATTTTTGCTCATTTCGTGTAAGATGTTTTTTAAATTCTCTACAATTATCATCTTGTTAATTTCATTATACCTGTGTAAACCAAAAAACAGACAAACAAACAAACTCACTGCCATCAAGAGTCATTTCCAACACATAGCCATCCTTGGGTTTCCGAGGTGGTACCTCTACAGAAGTAGATTGCCCAGTCTTCCTTCTGAGGCCGGGCTAGTGGGTTTGAACCACTAGTCTTTTGGTTAGCAGTCAAATGCCTTAGGCACTACTCCACCAGAGCTCCCCTTACCTGTGTAAGGTAGCTTATATCAAATATTATCTTTATTTCACATAAAAGACAGACCAGGAAGAACCAAGTTTTAAGTTGTATGTTTGCTGGCTTGGAAGTTTAGTCAGTGAGACTCATGCCTCTGTGCTATTTACAAGGTAATGAGCTTCTTGAAATACTTAATCTGCTCTAAAATAATTCTTTTTCTATCTCTCTATATATCTATCCTGACAGAACCTAGAATAAAAATTATATTTTTTTCTCCATGGCTGGATGCATGATAAGCACATTCTCGAAGACCACACTACTGTATTTCCATCAGCAGGATATTCTTCTTTTTAAAAAAATATAGATAACATAACAGTTGTCAATTCAACTTTGTTTATGTGGACAATTCAGTGAGACCAATGACATCAATCATGTTTTAACTGTCACCATTATCTCCTGTCAAATTTCTTATCATCATAAACAGAGGGTATTCCTTTTTACTGTCTGTGCCACTATTCACATTCACAGCTTAGCACCATATTGGTGGCTTTTCACTGTTGAAATGAACAAGATATTCTAATATTATAACAATTTCAAACTTCACTTCTTTTGATGAAGTTATTAAAATATTAGAAGGAGTCCTTGGGTGGTGCAAATTGTTAAATTATTTGGCTGCTAACCCAAATTTTGGTGAATCAAGTTCACCCAAATGTGCCTCAGAAGAAAAATCTGTTGATGTACTGAAAAATCAGCCATTGAATACTGTATGGAGTACGATTCTACTCTGACATGCATAGAGTCACCATGAATTGGAGTTGACTCAATAACAACAAGTATTAGAAGGTATAGCTTTCCAATCATTTGCTTAAATCACAGTAAACAAATATTCTAAGCCAGAAACTCCTTAGTAACTATTTAAATCAGGGTTTCCCAAATTTTTCATATATTGAATTACTTGATGTCCTTAACAAGGATAATTTTTGTCTCAAACAATTCTTTTACCTATTCTTCTACACTTGTTAATTGTTCTTTGTTAACTAAAGTCTAAATTTGTTTCAGGGCAAATCTCTGTGTTCTCAGGAAAGGTGATCATTTCTCCAACCATCCCTCATACCAATGACAGTTTTATTCATGGTCATTTAAGTAGATCCTATTTTATGAGGTTTGAAGAAAAGACTGACGGGAACATTATGGAAAACGGTTCCATGTCTAATTAAAAAAAGAGGGCTCAAAGTGTCTTACTGCTCTTCTTTGTTGGATATCATTATGTCTGTATGTGATTTCTGAAACTGTAACACTGATTTTGAGACCATGAAGTTAAGCTTGACTGTGGTCAAACTAAAGATGGTGTAATGGAAGAAGGAAAACACCTAAATACCTGATATATCATTTTACCACTGAATTAACCTCAGCTGGAACCTCCAGATTCTTGTTACATCAGATAATGAACACTTATTTCTTAAGACAATTTTAGTTATGTATTCTACTAATTGCAACTTAAAAAAAAATTCCAACTGGTATACAATATTCAAGCTTCATCCCATTTTTACTAAGACAGAAACTCCAAGGAAGGGGGATTGCTCTTTTGCACTGATATTGTCCAGCATTTTTATTTTAGAGATGAGGAGATTGAGGTTCAGAGAAACATATGGAACTTTCACCAAGGTTATACAATCTGCTAGTGTCAGATATAGGAACAAACCAAGAGTTCTGCCTCCCATATATATTTAAAAGCAATTTCCATCCCCCTACTACAACCACCACTACACTGAACAAAATTATGACCTGTTTATTAACAGGGAACAGAATATAGCATATTTACCTTAAATACAAGTACAGTAGCTCCCATTATCTTGCATAGTTACTGCAAATTTATATCCAAATACAATGGGGGAGGGCAAGTTGTCTTCTTGAGTGGAGAGAAGAGATATATATTTTTTTTCTCCATACTTGCAAGCTGTAGTTTCTTTACTTTTTATTTTTTAAAAAATTATATCTCCCTAACCACACCCAGGAGCCCTGATGGTGCACTGATTAAGTGCTTGGCACTTAATGGTGAGGTCAGCGGTTTGAACCTCTGCCAGCCATTCAGGAGGAGAAAGATGTGGCAGTCTGTTTCCCTGAAGATTACAGCCTTGGAAACTCTATGGGGTAGATCTACTTTGTTCTGCAGGGTTGTTGTGAGTTGAAATCCACTAGATGGCAATGGATGTGCCCAGCCTCACTCCAAAATTTAAATAGTTAAATAGACAATATCATATATGTTTAAAATAAGGTAACAGTGAATAACTTCCATTTATTTATTTATCATCAATGTCATATTTCACCTTATCCTTGGTTGCACACTCCAAAAATCCAACCCCCACAGCCATCGAGTTGATTCCAACTCATAGCGACCCTATGCGACAGAACAGAACTGTTCATAGGGTTTCCAAGGCTATATATCTTTTAGGATGCAGATTGTCTCAACTTTCATCCACAGAGCAGTTAGTTAGTTAAAGGTTTAAACTTCTGACCTTTTGGTTAGCAGTTAAAATATTTTAAGCACTGAGGCACTTGAGAGCCTTGGTTGTATCCTATTGTTGTTGCTATGTGCCCTGGAGTTGACCCTGACACACAGCAACCCTCCTAGGGTTTCCAAGGTGGTATCACTACAAAAGTGGATTGCCCAAACTTCCTTCCAAGGAGTGGCTGGTGGGTTTGAACTGCTGGCCTTCTGGTTGCATCCTAAACAGGTTTAATTCAGATTTAAGCAGTGTTTCATCTTCATGTAATTTCCACATGTTTCATTTGACAAAACACTTGCTTTTATTTTACTTGATTTGGGGAGTAGAATAGTTGAAGCATTTGAGCAGAGAAAGTGCAAATCTGAAATGTTTCACTGAGTTGAAAGTAACTAGATTAGTTCATCCTCAGGCATAAAACATTTTTGTATGAAAGATGTGTTCTCTTAGTTGTGAATTATACATTGCATTTAATAATTTACAGTTTGCAAGGACTGAAGTTACATATCTTATGTCCACATACTTTTGTATTCTTTAAAATTTTTCTTGTTTAAAGTAATTGTTGATAACAGAGATATATAGTAGAAATCAGAAAAACCACAATGAAGATTTGTGTTTCACCTAATAAGAGAGCCAAAGTACTTTAGTAATTTTCTCTATCTCTACTGTGAGACTGATTTTCCTTATTAAGGTAAATGAGAATTCTTCCTTTAGGGGGAGGAGAAAAAAAGGAGAAGGAAACAATGGCCATTTTCATTTCAGAGTACTTGTTCCAGTAGCATATCTGAGCTTTTTTTTTTTTTTTTTTTTTCCCCTTCAAACAGATAAATCCTATCATTGTACAGAGAGCCTGTGTGCAATAAATCAAATCGTTTCTTATCTCTTCCTTTCCTTAATGATATTGATAACCTTTAGGACTGTTGAATGAACAAGTCTTTCTTTTCCTACTTTCTGACTCATCTGTGCTCAAAGGGCAAAATAAGCTGCATATTATCCCAAAGGGTAAACAGCACTTAATTAAAAAAATCAACGGCTAAATGCTCTCTGAGTCAAAGCACTTTACACAAAGCGAAATAACAAAAAGTGTTCCCAGAGGATACCAAACGAATTGTTTATCCTGCAGAGTGGCTCAAATAGGTTTGTATGCACACATGCACGAGGATATGTGCACACGTGTACACACACACACACACACACACTTTAGCAGGGGCCTGGAAGTTGGCATTGAATAATGTTTGTAAAAGTAAGAATAAATAAATTAATGACTAAGTTGAGGTTTTCAGTGCTGTAATTTGACCACATATGAAAGCATGTGAGGTGAGTTTAATTAAAACCAATAGCAAAAAAAGAAAACAACATTATAAAAGATTTTTAAAGGCATTTCTCACAGTTGGTGCAGATATTATTAGGTGAGAGCTCAGTTATTTCAGTTCCCTGATTTTATCAATTGGATTTTAAAATTAGAACTTATAAAGCTAATTATGAGTCTGCCACTTTTTCCTATGAGCGGAGTATGTCTTTTGATATGTGATTACTTAAACTTAAGTGCTTTCTTGTTAGTCTCTTTACTAGCTTCTGATTCCTTTTCCTATCCCACTCTTCTCAGTCTCCCAAAGTACCAATCTGTAATTCATCTTATAGACATTTTCATGAAATTCTTTTGCTTTGCATTTCTTTCAAAAACTCACTGCTGATTTTAAAACATTTTGCTACCACTCACTCAAACTCACTGCTGTCACTAGGGGAAAGTATATTTACATTGATGGAGTATATTACTGGAGAATTATAAAATATTTATCGCATTATAGGTAGCATATTGGCCTCATAGGTAGCTATAAAGGAGAGAAAAAAATAATTTTGCAGCTCAAATAATTTATAAAGTCAAATATAGTGATTTGACCATCTAGAAAATTAAAAGATTATATGTTAAATATCAAATAAAACGCTAGGATTTTGATAGCACACCTATCTTGTATTAAAAAAAAAAATTAAAAAGTAAGGCTTATATTCACTAAGTTTCCCAATCTAGTAAAAATAAAGTTATCAAGTATGTTTTAAACATATAAACACAATAGGTGTTAAAGTAAAACTATCCTGATAATTTCTAAAATGAATATTGTGCTTTGTATGAATTGCACTCGGCAGAGTCTGGTTAAAGAGGCAAGTACTTGGGTGATCTCTCCTTAAAGGAAGCAAAACCT